TTTTATCTCGAAAAAGATTTTTTTCAGATTAATTGAGATTACCGTGATTAGAAAGGCAAGAGCATCGAAATTCAAAATCTCCTTTTTTTTCTGAAAATTTTTGTACGAAAGTCGTAATAGTAGCCCCCCCATAATACAAGTCCCCCCTAAAAATTTTGAACGCTTGGACAGTTTAGAAGCCCCGGAGGCTTCTATTATGGAGGGGGGTTTATTTGAATCAAAATCTCCAAATTTTTTCTTTAGAAAACAGTTTAAAATTTTGAAAATTTTCACATAATATATAGTAGAGTCATTTTTATCAATGAAAGAGAAGATATAAAATGAGAAAATTTTAATCATAGGGAGAACGATCTTTTTATGTAATTTTAATGAATTGTATTAGGGCAACTCGTCATTTGTAAGTGATCAACATTATTAACATTAGATTAAACATCTACAACAAAATCGATCAAACTTACCGTTTTGTAAGGGTGGATCTTTTTTGATTTTTTTCTCATCATCCGACATCACTTTATATTGAATGGTCTCTTTCTTTGCAGTCGATGTTGGAGGTAAACGATCGTGTGTTCGTGGTTTTTTCGTTTGCTGTTGATGTTCTTGTTGTTGTTGTTGTTGATGTTGTTGATGTTGTGCTTTTTTCTTCTCTTGTTGTTCTCGTCTTTTTTTATCATAGTCTAATATTTTTTCTCGAAATCTTGGTGATGTATCAGGTTGTTGTAATGATTGTAAAGAATGCGATTTCGTCATATTTGTTTCTGGTCGATGACCACCACGTTGTGTATAAATATGCATTGTGTCTAATTGTCTTGTTTTATCTTCCAATTTTAACGTCAACTCATTATAATCTGATTGTCGTTTATCTAGTTCGCGTTTTAATTCTTTTTGTTTTAACAACGTTGAATTTACCTCATATCGATGACTTTTTTCCAAATTTTCCAAATGTTTTTCCTGCGCTGTTAATTTTTCTAATAATTCTTGATATTTTCGATCAGATTCTTTTAGTTTTTCTTTCATTTCATATCGTTCATCAAGATTTTTTTCCATCGTTATTTTTTCATAATATTTTAAACGTTTTTTGGTATCACGTAATATTTCATCTTTTGAATCAATTGTTTTTTCTAATTTTAATTTTGATTGTTTTTCATTAAATAACAATTCTTTAGTATGTTGAATTTCGGACGTATACTCTTTTAGAATACGTTGAATATCGTAATCTTGATTTTCATATTTTTTCAATGCCATTTCTTCACGGCGTTGAATTGTTTTTAATGTATGATTTTCAACACGAATTGTATCTAAAAGGAGTGGAAAATAGATTAGTTCAATAATGCTTCTCTATCGAAGATGAGTTAATCTATAGAAAAACTTAAGAAACCGACATCTCACCTAGATCTAACTTCAATTCAGCTATTTTGTTTTCTAATGTTTTTAATTTTGTATTTTGTGCTGATAGTAATCGTCGTTCAACTTCACCTTTTGGCATAGACAATTGCTGTTGTTGGTCATGTTTTCGTTTTAGATGATTTGTTCTCGTCATATGATTATTATTGTTCATTTTATTTGTATGACGAATATAGGGTAACAATCTGTCTTTTCGACGATTATGATTTTGATTTGATTTAATAATAATCGTTTTTGATTTCAGTTCTGAATCACTACCACGACGTTGTGGCAAGACGCCTGAGACACGTTTCATACTTTGTTTCGATGGTGGTAAAGAGCCATATTTCTTCACACGATCTGTTTCCGTTGTTGTATCATCATCAGCTTCATCATCATCGAAATCAGATGAATAGACAGCTGAATGAATTGAATTACCATCATGATTCGATGCCGATCTAACTATTTTTCGTTGTGATTTACTATTAGTATTCACTTTAGCTAAAATAGAAAGAAGAAAAATGCGGTCGGTATAAAGCTTCTTTAAATCGAAAAGACATCATTTTTCTATGTGTCTATGTTTGTTTTCAAAGAGAAATCTTACAAAGATCTGAGAAGAAAATGTATGTCAAGACATAATGGGGTTGTTTGACTTTTAACTTATTGAGGAAACAAGAGAAATATATCTCTAAGAAAGAAAAAAATGTCTCCTGTTTGATAAATCTCGGATAAAGTATAGTAATTCTAAATATTGCCTGCATGAGGCTTTGAAAGCAATAAATTAAAGAACGTTAGGATCTATGCGATCAGAATTAACTTGTCATTTAATTTTTTGAGATGATTAAATCTGCACCGAAAGAAAAAAAATTCTCGGTCCATTGGAGACAGTTAGAAGAAAAGATCCTTATAAGGGAACATCCGGTGGACAGATTCTTGCGGAGAACAAATCCCGAAATGTGGCACTATCCCCATTAGAGAAGGACATTTGGCATCCTTGATCCGTCACTAGGGCCCTAATCTAACATGTATACTGAGTAACTGACCAAAACTGTAAAACTACTGACAACTGTAGGATTAAAAAACCTTTTTAGTATTTTGATCTCGGTTTATGACGCATTTGTCAAGTCTTTCAGTTGTACGTCGAACGGAAGCACTCTAAAAAGAAATGCGACTTAGGATCAAATTATTACATTAACGTGCCTTATCCTATGAAAATAAGACACATTAATGCGACTAAATTGATCCTAAGTCGTAGTTTTTTTTTAGAGTGAGGGATGGAAATAAATATGAATAACACGGTATATCTATAATATATAAACCAGAATAAAATAGCCATCATATTATCGCAGCTAGTTATCCTGCATACTGCGTCCTTCGTATTTACTCACATCCATTTTGTTCAATGTTTAATTCAGAAATTTTACAAATCATAAATATCATAAATCGGGACCAAAACTAATAAAAAAAGTTTTTCGTATTTTTGGTTCTAACAGTTTAATAGTTTTAACAGTTAAGTGTAACTAATGCACACCTACCATTACGTATCGATATTTTTCAGATGTTGCAACTACCACGATTTATTGTGAGACCAGACGGACAAGATGTGGTTATTTCGTGAACTGTTTTCTTTTTTTGACAGTAATAGGTCTAAGTTTTGTAAAATGTTGCAAATTTATTGTTATCTTGAAAATGACGATTTAATCGTCAAAACGTTGATTTTTTAAATAAATAGACAATGATGATCTTTGCTGCTGTCTTATCATATTAAAAAAAATATACTTAAAGATATGCAATTGTTTATGAGCCAAATGCAGATAGTGAAAGACGTGTCAAGGAAAGGACAAGGTAAAGTACACGTGTGAATGAGAAACTTTTCTTCATATACAGATCTGTAGCACAGCAGAGAAAAAAGTGCTTTTTTTATCGCATAGGTACTGGAACACAGCATAAGCAAGTCTGCGAGTATGAATGCACAAGAACAGAAAAACTTGCTCAAAGGAAGTACACGATCGAACTACATCTCTTCCATATTATTTTCCTTCTATTCTGTCTTTCGCTTATTCCAAGATTAATCCACATATAGAAGTTTATTCTGTCTCGTCTCGAACATCCCGTAAGGTTTTTTTTGTTTGAAATGGTGTCCAAACGCATGTAAACGTCGAAATACCGGAAATGCGTTTTTTAGCCGTTTAAACGATACACGAAACGTATTTCAATTATTTTGTCGTTTACCTGCGTTTGGATACCGTTTCAAACAAAAAAATCTCACGGAGTCTAATATGAACAGCTGGTTAGTGGATCTTATAGCGAATCATCCCTAAACAAAACTAGATACTATAAACAAGCTCTTGTAGCGCAATCGGTTAGCGCGTTTGGCTGTTAACCAAAAGGTTGGTGGTTCAAGTCCACCCAGGAGCGTATATTTTTGTCATACATTTTTTCCTATTTTATTATTGATTTCGAAAAATGTCGTCTACGATAGTGATTTCTATGTTCTACCAAAAACGTATTACAGTTTCGATAAAGTTGCTCTAATATAATTGATGAACCGTGGTACTTACATTTGTTGTCGACAATTGTTGGTGAACGTATAATAGTCGAATGATTATTATTTGATCGACTATTCGAACTCATCGCGTTATTATGCGAATAGGTTGGAGCTTGAGTAATAAGCGTACTTAAACCTTGATAATCTGCTGACGTGGTTTGTTCATTATTATTCTTATTTACTTTTTCTAATTCTTGTCGTTTTTGTTCTTTTTCATCGGTCGGTGTATCATCACGATAATGATTTCCATTTTCTTTATTGTTATTGCTATTGGAATGCGTAGTTGATGATGATTTTGTCGGTGATAAACGTTGTTGTTTTTCATCAATTGATAATCTTTTATTCAATCCGGTGGACGTTTTGGTAGTTGTTCGATCATCTTTATTTGTTGTTGATGGAACACCAAAAAAATCATCAAGACTATCAGCAGATGCTCTTCGTTCTTCGGGCATTTATGTTGTTTGCACGTGGTTAATTAAAAAAATTTCATACCAGTTTGCTTGTTCTTTTCTCTATTCAGTGTATATGTGTTATTACTTTCGTTTAAGTAAATGATATAATTCAAATATGAGAAAACAACATAGCTTTTGATATGAGTTTAAAAACTAAAACAGAAAAAAGAAAATTATTAGTGTGCATGATGTCTATTTCATTTGACTTATTTATGAACACGCTCATTGATGAAAAATTACCGTTGAAATCCATTTTTCAAAGACTAATTTACACCTGTCACTTCTTCATCTGAGAAGAAAAAAAAAAGATATCTGAAAATTGTTGTTTTGCTGCTACTGCTCCTCTAATGATTCCTCTCTCATGAGGTAATAGGGACTGATTAACGGAAGATCAGCTTTTTTTTCTTACTTTTTTCTTCTTCTAAAGCACGCACACACATGTAGATACGTCGTTGCTATCATAAACTCCATTTCACTCGTAAATGTAAAGGCAAAGGTGGGGGAGAAAAGAAAAAGGAAAACAGAGTATATGCTACCGAGGTAACGAGAGAAGAAGAGAAGACGTGTTCATTCTACTAAAAAGAAAAAAAACTCTATATATAAAAAATGGTCATACTTACATTGAACGTTTGACATCTTTTGGATGTAATATAATCTTGTAAAAAGTTCGACAAAAATCTTCTTCTGATATGTTTTATCTTCTAATGTATATAATTCTAATTGATTTAATGCGAATAAGGAGCTCTATGCCTTTTATTTATCTCAGAATGCATCATCTTTAATTAATTCATTATATATGTCTTTTTAGTTCAGTCTTTGTTCAATTTGGTTGTATGATGTGGAGAAAACTGTTTTACTACGTAAATGGTAAGATCTATTATAGAAACTGATAGTAATCTAATGAATAGACAAATAGTTTCGACATATACATTGAATAGGTTTTTCTAAGTGCAAATTTTTTATTTTACCTTTCAGAAAACTTCTTTTATTTTTATAATAGAAATCTTTCTATTACTCATATAATTTATTATTTTTTTTTTATAAACAACCTGAATACTCTTTCTTAATCTTTTAAAAACAAATATACTAAGTTGTCATAGTTCTACATAATCTTGAATACAATTATGAATTATATATCATACAAAATAATTTGAATTTTGTTATAGAAATATTAATAAAGATAGCGAAATTATGAATGTTCCATTTAAGGATTATTACTTTCTTTGGCGGAGTTATTACTGGCATTGTCTATGGATATTAAGTATTGTTGCTGATGATCTAGACAAGAGCGGGTGATCTAGAAACAAATGATAGATAAATTTAGATATCTTCTAACATACTATAGATCTTGAAAAAAAGATTTAGATTAATTACAGATCGATTACTTGTTCAATAAATTATAATTAGTAGCATGACGGATGGAACAATAATTGACCTCACGATTTCTTCAAGAGTGAAAAATGATAGAACAAAGAATATCTATGCTTTTTATTTACTATTGACCCGGGCAAAATTATCGAATGTAGAATTATAGATATATCAGCCTTTTTCTCTATTGAAAATAATTGCTATTCTGTTATACAGAAAATGGAACGAAACATCTATGTTTTACTTTAATACGTGTGTCAAAATTGCAGAAAAATAATCATGAAGAGTATCACATGATACAATGATTTCTATTGCTATAAACTAAGATCAATCTCTGGAGTCAAAAATTCGGTGAGATAATAGCAATATGAAATTGTTTCAATCTGTTTTCTTAAATGCAAGTAGGAGTGTATTAGTCTTAACAGGTTTTTTTTTCTAACTAAATAACTGACCAAATTTAATATTATTATTATACCTACTTCGTATGATAACAAAGTATTTACCATTTGTTTGGACACATTTAAGAGCAAACAGTTCTTATAGACAGAATATTATTTCAGTATATAAGTAAACTCATATATGGTGGCTAAATAATACAAAATAGGCACGTAACTCGAGTACACTTTTGCTTTAGACTTATAAAATAATATTCTTTTAAGTAGTTCTCTTTCCTTAGGCATTTGACGAAATATATCATGGGTAGTAAAGTAAATTGTGTTGATCACTAATATTATCTTTTTAACTCAACACCTACTATTGAATGATTGCTGACTTAAAACAATTTTTATTTTTCATTGTCAAAAATTTTTAATCGATTATATTCTCTGGTAGATACATGACTTATATTGATCAACTATACAGTTTTACAGAGAATCTCGTCAAATTATAATCCGGTATACATCTTCACTTTACATCATATATTCTTCAAGACTTACATATAATAGTAAAAACTTTGCTGAAAACTGTCGCTACTTTTCTTTACGCTTATTTTTAAAATTTTTATACTTAAAACTATACAAAAGAATAAATAATCTTTTATATTTTGTTTTTAAACATAAACGATACAGAAGTGGGAAGATTTTTTGAAAATTACGCCACCATATGTTTTTGAAAAAAATTGTGAAAAAGCTTGCCACTTTTTGAGCGGTATCTATGCTGCTCAAATAATAACAACGGATGTAAAACAGGTATCACTTGAAAATTAAAAAAATTAAATGTACATCTTACAGAAAAATCGCATCATTTTCTATTGAACAGCTTATTTGTCTGCACATTTCTACTTTTCACTCTCTAACATCTGCTACAGACAAAATTCTTATACGATAGTAACATTAATCATGATGATGATCAATTAATAACAACTATAGAAAGAAAATTGTAGACACCACAAGAACCCGCTACAGAAGAATATAAAGTTCGAACGTTTGAGAGCAAGACATTTGCTCAATCTATGCATTTCTGGCTGATAGTCTTTATTTATTCTTTTCGGTCCGTTATATTATCGTATAAAACGAAAATGAATCTTATCCTTAGTCTACTAAATTATTATCAAACGTATTTGATAATTTTAGAATGATTTCAGACGGAATATATATTAGTCCAGTATTCATAATGTGGCTAATACTTTTTGGGTTTTAATCAATTTTAGATGGTACATATTCAAATATATAAAAAGAGCAAATAAATAAATAACTTATTTCTATGTGACTATATTGAAAGAAAAATTTTAATAACTCCACTTGTAAGCATTATCTTTGTTGATATCATGTTACTATTAGTAAATATTGAATATGATATTAACATTTGGACAAGAAAAGGAAAATATAAGGAATGAACGCAAAAAATACAAATAGTGTTCTCACTAAATGCTTCCATAATAATTCTCCATTCACGTTAATAGCAAAAAAAGGCACAAATATACTATTGAGAATAATTATTTTTTATATATGATGGAGGTAGAGCTAAACACAAATAGACATAATATTTTGAATTGGAGACAAATTAAAAATGAAAAGATTTTTAGAAATATTATATTCATTGATCGAGCAAGAGGCCAAAGAAGTTAATACAAAAATAAAAGACGAAAATGCCTGTGATATTTTAATTGTACAGTGGACAAATGATTTTATTATTTTTGAGATTATCAACCAGAATTTGTAAAAGAAGGTTCTCGGATAACTTGAGATCATTGTACAAATTGTGTATTTATTGTTTATGATGAAAAGGCGAATAAAAGTGACAAGTGCACTACAAATGAAAATGATATTGTGTGAGAAAAATGCATAAGAGAGTTTTTTGGTTATCCTATGAATTATTTTGATTATGATAGTTTGTGATGTTTAAAATTTTCTGATGTTTCTTTATTGCTGTTGGAACAACTTCTTCAAATAAAATGTTGACGATTGCATCGTAAAGGAATAGAACATGAAATAAACGGGAACAGAGCAGTTTTCAATGCATACGTAAATCATAGGATAGTTTCTACTGAATATTCAATATTATTATAGGCAATCAAGTATAAATGAGGTATAAGACTGTACATCTATACAATTGGAAGAACTCCTAACCATTTATCGGGATAAAGCATGCACCAAGCCCGGACGTTCGGGTTCGGGCTCATATGGACAGAACAGAATGGCACCAATGGACGTATTCTTATCCTTATGAATAAATAAGAATACTTCTCCATTATCTCATTCTATTGCTTTTCATTATGTCTATTATTAAAAGAAAAATTCAACCACACGCAAGTGTTCTTTTTCAGTCTGCGACAGAGTTTTAAACATATCATACATTTTTATCGAAGATAAAAGTCAAACCATAATGCTTAAATGATCTACACTTTCTCCATTGTATTGAATGAATACCCGTTTATTTTTATTTCCACTAAATCCACTATATATAAATATGTGCAACTTTTGTTCATCATGCGAGTTGCTAGTGGTTATGTTGATTCCATTAAAAAGTTAAAACTAGTCTATATCTGAATTGGTTGTATAATAAAAAAATTTTGTTTGAAGGTATGAAGCGTATTTCATTTATGCCCTTAGCCAGCTCTAAGAAATTCTTATTAGTTCAATCATTACGTATGATGATGTGGGGGATATATTTTAATCATAAACTACTTCATTGTTAAAAAATTTTTTTACAAAAGCACTCCATCTTTTCCGTGCTTGTGAACATAAACCCGAACATGAACACGTATACGCGTCGTGCTCGAAAAACATTGTTAAAAATCTAGAACAAAACGCTAGTAATTAGCCAACAAATAATGCAAGAAAATTTATTAAACCCCCCCCCATAATAGAAGCCTCCCCCATATTAGAAGCCCTCCCGTATTAGAAGCCCCCTCTGGAGCAATGGATGTGGAAGGTGTATTAGAAGCCCAGGGGCTTCTATTACGTCGAAAAATAA